ATTTTCAATTAATTGACTGACTGGCTTCTTAATTAGATCATTATCTGTTGCAATATGTACAGTACATTTGATGTAAGTGTTGTCATTAGATGATAATGAATTGAAATCGTGATTCTAAATTGAATTTAAGATTTGAACAATTTAACTGTTTTGAATGAAAAAGGTTCTTCAAAAAAAGAATTTTTCTAAACAATTCAAGGTTCTAATATATATATCTTATTTCAAATTATATAAATTATAGTTTTTTAAATATCAATACAAAAATATATAATTACTAGTACACTGCTGCTCATAAACATGTTTCAAAATAATTTATATATATATATATATATATATATAAAATACAGTTTTGCAAAAAGTTTCATAAAAAGAAACATACAGTAGAATCTTGTTTTAACAAATCGTTTGGGTCACCAAAAATCATCTGTTATTCTAAAAATCTGTTATATCACAAACAACAGATTTCCCACACACCCAGGAAAATATTCATTATTCATAAAAAATTTCTGTATTTTAACTCCATATACTTGAAATTATTCAGTCTCTAGAGATATCTATTCTTTATTCTATAGAAACATGTATGTTACAAGACCATGTACTATGTTGTATGTGTGTACAACAAACTGTATAGATTATAAACACAAAAAAGTGGCAAATTATGTATGCTCATTAGAACTTCACTTGACTTCATGATTTGTTAAAAACTCGTCCATCTTGGTTTGTTTTGATGCCTCTTTTCTGTCTATTGAATAGCTTACAACCACCACTTGATATTAACAATGTCATGTACAGCCTGTTTGTTTACATTAGAACTCATCAAGAAGGTCTTCACAACTTGGAAAGACTTGATATCCTTGCTAACTTTTGGTGTTACACTTGGACCAGTATCAAATGTTTGCCAGGTGATTCCTCCTCAATTGTATCAGCCTGTTGATGCTCTTCATACTATTCTTCAATTGTACATAGCCAAGATGTAACAAGTGCATCTTCAAACTCTACAAATTCTCCAAAACATCCAAATATTAACTAAACATTGAAAAAACATGATGTTTACAGTGGATGGAACTAGAAAAAAATCTGTTGTTTGATGATCTGTTTAAATGAGATTCTACTGTATTTTTTTGTTTTTGTTTTATATATGTATGATTAATGTAAACATACTATGGATTATTATTTAAATAAAGATGGTTATTATAATAAACCATCTGTGCTGTTAACTTTGCTACAAATGAACATTCAGATGTTACAAAACTTGCAAAACTCAATTTATTTCTATATATAAATTATCTTGAGACAATGACTATTGTTATATTTTTATAGCAATTTATTAAAATATGAATTTTTAAACGTTTTATAATCCAATATTATTTATTTCAAGAGATTTTACAATAAGTACTTAACTACAGTTTAATTTTAAAAGAATTTAAACATGATTTAAATATTGAAAACAGAATAAAAGACTTTTATAATTTTAACAGTTTGAATAAGCTTTTTTAATATAATTAAGAAGAAAAAAAAATACATTTTTTAAGTTTTTCTCAAAACAACAAAATTGTTCCAGTCTTAGAATTATGTTCTGTATATTATAACTTACTTCAGGCTCTATTCTAATTACTCAATTTGCTATAAGCTATGCACTTTTGTATAAGCAGAATTACATATACCAGTGTATATAGACTGGTAAAGTAATTATAAATAGCTACAGTTTATCCATGAAAATAAATTCCATAATATTTTATCTATGGAAAATATTCCTGTATCTTAATTTATATGTACAGGGTATACCAAAAGTTTCCATACATACAAAGGTAAAATGTAACTTTATTCACAAAACATTAAAATGTCAGCATTAAGATTTATGTCAGTGGATTGACAGAGTAAGGCAATGGAACACGAGTGATCTGCCAATGGGATAACTTCTCCTTTATGGAAACTGGATTCTGTTTAGGTGATAGACACATGAAGAAAACCCAGAACATTGCATTGGCCAGACAAACCAATGACCAACTACCAGTGTTCAATGGTTTCATTTATTCGGCCACTGGTGGGCTTGATTTGTGTCACTGTATGGAGACTTTTGGGATACCCTGTATTTTGGTTAATTTTGACTAAATGAAATTCAGTATTATGATAAAAGCTTATATATATATGTATATAAAATAACTTCTTGGCTGTTTGCATAAAAATAAATTTATATCAGAAAACCAGACTAATGTAAAAATTCATCCAGGAAATTGATTATCTTTGAAGCAAATGTTTGTAAAGTATTGACACTAATTTTTAGGAGCAAATCAAATCTTGTCAAATTATTTCTTTGTAGTAAAAACAGTATTTTATATATATATTTTTAAATTTGTGAATTTATATCATTTCTAGTATTATATTACAGTTATGTTACTTCTCATTATATCTGATTCAAAAGAAATTTTATATAATAATAAATATTATCCTTTTTATGGTTAATTGTATATAATTCTTGAAGTAAATGATAATTTATTTCAGAAATTGCACTGAATATGAATTATCTTTCATTTCAGAACAATTTATACCTAATAGACTAAACGTTTTTATTAAATGATGATATAAAAGACTTTTAATATGTAAAAGATATAAATGTTGAAAGTAACTTATTTTAATATATACCTCAAAATTGTGATATATAAAGCATCCTTAAAAACTGTTGATAATGATATTATTATGTTAAATATAAACTACAAAATGATTTTTAAAAAAATATACTGATACTAATAAATTTAAATAGTTCACTCTGTCATATTTTTAATCATACATTTCAATTTCTATTGCTACTTAAACATTGAGTAAAATGTTATGATTAAATTTCTAAAAGCAACATCTCCAGAATAAACAATTATTTTCTACAAAACGTACATTTGATTTTTACAACTATGTGACAAATAACTTTCTTAAAAAAAACTGAAAAATTTTAAACAATGTGTTAAAAAGCTGATTTATCAAAGCTTTTTATGAAACAAGAAAAATGACAAAAAAATATATAATTTTTTATTTTTAGTCATAAAAATTTTGTCTTATGAATATTATTAATTTATAGTATTTATAAGACAAAACACTCTTAATTCTTTAGATTTACTACCGACTAGAGTGTTAAAATATAAGAATATGCATCTGTGAAATAGTTTAGCATGGTTACCATGTGTTAAGAATTTCCAATAACTAAATTAGAAAAGAATTTATGAAATAATGACTTAACATTAATTAAAGTTCACTGTGCATTTATATTTCATACTGTCACCTGTTTATACAGTACCTATTTACATCATAACTGAAACATGATGTAAATATCAATTCTGTAGTCCTTTCTGTGTTCATACACTGTATTATTAGATTGTTTAATACTGTAGAATATTGTTTGAACACACTACTAATAATAACTAATTATTTTTTTGACATTGTCAATGACTACTACAAATAATAATAGAAAAAAGTATATTTTTATCAGCATTTTTTAAATAAAAATTGATTAAAGATTACATGTGAAAAAAAAAAAAATACAAACTGCTTGCTAAACTATTTCATAAATGTGAAATTTCATTACTTAAATATAAAGTATTTAAAACTGATATTAGCAGAACTGATAAAGTTAAGTGTTGATATCAGCATTTATGTCACACAGTACGAATTTTTTAGAAGGTTTTAGGAATATGTCTTCTTTTCTGTTACATTATGTTTATTCCATATTGATTTTATACCATATATGAATGTGTACAAACAAAATATTCAGATAAAATTACAATGTATGCCAAATTAAAGATTTCTATCCCAGATCAATAATACTCTCAACTATATATTAGTATACTATAATCAAAATTCTTGGGAAAATCCCTACGCATCACAAGAAAAATTCCTATATGTCATATTACACTTTTAAATATTGAGGTACACTAAAATAATAGTAAATTTATGTTCAGTAATATAGTTGACAAATAAAAAAAGAGAATAATAATAATAAAACAAGAAAAAAGGGACTTTCCAGGTATGAGATGTTTTCCAAACTCCTTTGCCAATCTGCTTCTATAAGCAAACTAGTTAGTTGAAACTATATATATAAATATATGTAATTCTAAATGAAATAATAATTATTCTGTAGCATTTTAAATACAAATAATAATATTTTAATTGAAAATATTTAATTTTATATATATACAATA